CCCCTCAGCAGTGTGCTTCGGTCCTTCTGCCTGCTCTGCTCCCCGCTCTGGCTCTGGTGAATTCTCTCGCCCTCCCGCGCTTCTGACTGTACCCAGTGCATGTATAAACAAAACAAACAAACAAACCAGCAAACAAATAAATAAAGCATGCCTCTATAAAAAAAAAAAAAAAAAAAAATTCAGATCTGGAGGGCTGTCCAGGCTGGCCTCTGTGTGTGTGTGATAAAACCCAGGGTGGTGCCTGGGGTCACAGAGAGGTGCTGGCAGAGCAGAGTCTGGAAGCAGGTCCCCCAAATCCCAGTGTACGGCTGTGAGGTGAATGGCCCCATCCTGCCCATCCTCTGGACCATCCCAGGCCAGGTGTGTCCACAGAACAACAGCTGCCACACGTGTTCTTTGCAGCAGTAAAGACTTTCCAAAAGGGAAGACTTCCCCCCACCTTCATGTACCAAAACTCTTGAGTTTCCATGGTGACAGTCAAATTGCAAATCCATCCAAGAGTGAGCCAGGGGAGGGGGAAAAAAAAAAGCTGGCCTATCCCCAGAGAAGTAGGCATGGCTGATGCTTGGGCTCTCCACTGCTGATGGTGAGCAGAGTGGGGCAGCCCTTCTGGGGCATGATGGGAAAATCTCTGGGATGCCAGGTTCCCAAGTGAGTGGTCCAGGGGCTCAGGCATTTGGTGGAGAGGGGGGCCGCCTCTTCCTCCCTGCCTCGTGGCAGAGCCCAGCTGAATCCATTTAGTGACACCTCCTTCTTGAGAGGCTATTGGGACAGCCTTCTCCCTGGTGTTTTCCCATCTTCAATCGGAAAAATCAGGCGTGGGCAGAATACAAGCGCTCATCGCTGAGCCAAGCTAGACTCAGCCTTTTGGGAATTAGAGGGGAGCATCAGCCTTCAGACACACTGAGTGTTTTGTTGAGGATGGAAGAGAAAGGGCCAAAAGATTTATGAGCCTAAAAGCTTTGTTAATAGACCTGGAAGATTTATGATCCCAGCTGCTATTCAGGGAGAAAGGTGGCAACAGCAATCGAATGGCAAATTAGCCAAGGTTTGGGTTTTATGGTGACATTTGGAGGGGGAGGAGGAAGAAGAACTTCTTCCCTTGCTGCCGGAGGAAGCTCGGAATATTTGGGTAAATGGCGTTCCCATTGGGCTGTGTCCAGGGATGTTCTTAGCGGTGTTTCTCTGTGTTTATCTCCCACCAACAGTGAGTGCCGAGGACGGCCCGGACACCGCCCATCCCTCTGGCTTGCTGCTTTTTCAGCGGGGTTTATTACAGTGGATCAGAAATGGGACTTGGGTTTGTGTCACAAGGTCCTCTAAGCCGAGGCCTAACTGCAGCTTGAAATGCCAGACACTGAGCAAAGATGCTTAAGCCAAGAGAGACATATCCAGGAGTGAATCCACCCTGTCAGCCAGCTCTTTCTCTGCTCTGTGATGCCTTTGTAAGCTCACTTGTCAGCGGGGGCTCTCTCTGTGGGAGGGCTATGACACTTTGGGGTCTGTAAAAGGAGACAACAGACCAAATAGCTATTACTGTGGAGAGGGAGTTGTTTTTCTAAACCATGTGCAACATTGGCCCCACGAGTGAACAAGGCAAGATGGGCACCTGGCCCGCACCTCCTGGGTTGATTTTCTGGACAGAACATTCCACTCACAACTAAACTCTTCTCCCAGTGAGCACAGCACAGCCTTCCTGCAGTTTTAGCCCACTGCTCCCAGCCACCACTGTGGCAATGTATGACAGATGACAGACAGAGAATAGGTGAAGAAATGGGCTCAAACAGCTTGCCCCTCCGCATAAACCAAGTCCTGGGGCATCCGTTCCCATCGTCTCCTTTTGAGCTCTCAGTATTTGGGAGACTTTGGCATCCAGCCATTTGTACCAAGGGTCCAGGCATTCCTCTACATCATGGAACCCCAGCCCGGCCCCTGCCATTACATAGATCCTGCATAGCAAGAAGGGGGAAGAAACAAATGTTTCAGGTCAGGAAGACTGAATCGATTATTTCCGCCAGAGAGATGGGGAAGCCAGCGTGGAGATCAGTCACTGCACTCTCCACAGGGATTTCCCGCTGCTTAACTCAGGAAGGATGTCCCTAGTCCCCCCTGCTGGAGAGGGGGAGCCAGAAGCCGCCTTGATTCTTTTGCAGTTGCCCTAAGGGAGATCTGGAGAGCTGCTGGCTGCCTCCTGCCCACTCCCACTCCCTTTGTCTGGGGACCCATGGGGTTGGTATTTAGTCAGTGAGTGAGTCAAAGATACATAAGTGCTTGTAAACCTGATGCCCATGAGGTCCAGGCTTAGTGAATTCGTGATCAGAGAAATTCAATCCAGAACCTGAAAAGAAATTGCAAAATAAGCCAGGTCTTTACTTGCATTTCTCAAATACTATAAAGGGGCATGTGTAGCCTCTCTCAGTCCCCATCTCCTTTTAATTCTACCTCACAAAAATCCTAAAGTCTAACACAGAACTCTTCCTTGAGGGCAGGGGAGGGAGAGAAAGTGGCAGAAAAGGTAAATCATTGAGCAGACAGAGGGGAAAGCTGGGAGCAATGGAATTAGCATCACTCTTGCCCCACCCATGTGGAGGGGGTATGTAGGAGAAGCACACCAACCTCATTCCTGATGTGATTCAGCCCCTGCCCTTAAGGAGCCCGGTGGTCTGCTGGGGGAGACACACAAAGTGCTGTCGTAGCAGAAGGCACAGGGCCACTCAGCCAGCCTGGCAGGAGCTATGGGGCGTGGGAGCTTCCTGGGGGACATGGTGTCTGAACTGAGCCAGGAGAGAGCAATGGGCAGGGCATTCAAGACAGAGGGCAGCCAGTCACTGCAGGAGATGATGACCAGCAATTTGTCAGGAGCTCCAAGCATTCTGCGGCTGCAGGAGCCTGGGGTAGGAAAACAGTATGTGCAGGATGAGGTGGAAGTAGGCAAAGGGCAGGTGCTCAGGCTTGACCCTGAAGGTTGTGGGGAACCTCTCTCTCTCTCTCTCTCTCTCTCTCTCTCTCTCTCTCTCTCTCTCTCTCTCTCTCTCTCTCGCTCTCTCTCTCTCTCGCTCTCTCTCTCTCTCTCTCTCTCTCTCTCTCTCTCTCTCTCTCTCTCTCTCTCTCTCTCTCTCTCTCTCTCGCTCTCTCTCTCTCGCTCTCTCTCTCTCAGCCCAGTTAGTCATTTGAGCATCACAAAGTACCTACTGTGTGCCAACCACCTGCCTTGGAAGCATAGGCTTCAGACTCTCTTTGAGCTGAAGTGGTTAGCCTGTGGTTGTTTAGTTAGACCTGTGACCTGTGACTCCCTTAACTGACACAGGCTGAAGGCCTGAAGAATTTCCAGAAGGTTCCAGCTCTAGGTAGAAGCTCCATGGCATAGATTCTGCCATTTCCCCCTCTTCTATACCCACAGTGACTTCCCAACTGACCAGGTTCTTCTCCTGCTGGGCTTTTATGTAGTGTCAGTACTGTTCCCAGTACCCTGCTCCAAAGGGTGGGGTGGGACAGATGAAACCTATTAGCCATCCTATAGATTGATTTTCTTTCCAATCTCCTCTCCCACCAAATGGAGCCCTATGGCACTGAGGTGTTTGGCAGATTGAGTAAGCTCATGCTCGCTGGGCGCCTGGCAGAAAGCATTCAGCGGCTCCTAACCTCCCTCCATAACAGTATTTTGATTCCCTGGTAAGACACACTGACTCCTACCCCATCCGCTGACTGAGTCACTGTGAGAACTGGTTACTGTGATCCCCAGCCTTTCCATGCAGTTGTACTTGTTATTCTAATTACATCATTTAATTAAATGTTCCGTAAGTTGATGAAAAGAGTCAGAAAAGACACAGTTATTTCATTAAAACCAAGACTTTGGAAAGTCTCTCTGGAAGAAGCCACTTGCTTAAAAAAGCTATTGAATTAGGTGTGGGCAGGACAACTGTAAAAAAAAAAAAAAAAAAAAAAAAAAACAGGAGAAAGAAATGGAAAAATAGAGAAGGTTGTGCACTCATCTTCCTTTGCCAGTGTCTTTAAGCTCTGCTCTAATTTAAAGAAACAGAACCTGGGAATCACAGACAACGCAGTGTGGCTGTAGTTTATACATGAAAAGCCGTGTGGGCCCAATCTCAAAGAAGCACCCAAGCCCCACATCAAAGGATTGGCGAATGGATGCACATTTCTATGCTTAAAATTAAAATAGAATGTTTAGCATATGAATATATCCTGTATTATGACTCCCACTGTTGATCAACCAGCCAAATATGGTCCCATTTAGTCCAGAAAAGAGGATTTCTACCACGGTGGGCGTGCACTGCGAGAGCTCCCTCTCCTCCGCTCTCCTGGGATTCCAGCTCCATCAGCCTGGCTCCCTCTCTGCATTCATGAGGCCCCGTGGGAGGGTCTGCCGGCTTGGGGCCCTTGTTCTTCCAGTGGAATCAGGATGGTTAGGACACCGGCTGTGGGGCCAACCTGCTAGGGTTAGAATCCCTGCCTCTCCCCCCGCCCCGCCCCCAGCTATCTTCGACAAGGCCTCAGTTTCCTCACCTGTAAAATGGGGACAGTAGGTCTTGCAGGCTTCTTCTGAAGCGTCCAAATTGGCGTGTGTGCAGCCATCCCTAAGGGTCATTGAGGGCCGGAATCCCCGACTGCTGAGCACTGCCCTGCGTCTCTACAGTCTGGTGCAAACCTCTGAGCAAGGCACTTGTACCAAAGGGGACAGTCAGAGGGAAGGGGTGACATGTGGAGATGACTGATAAGGAGGTTGGGGGGACCCTCCCTGCTGGTCATGCTGAGCCCAAGTCCCAGCATCCTAACACCAGGATTCACCTCTTTGATGACAGAAAGGAGTGTTCCCTGCTCCCCGGGCCATTGTTGCCGGTGTCCAAATACAAGAGCAAGCTGAGGTTCTATGATACTTTGTTCTGAACTAGAGGGAGGCCTGCCCTGGCCCCTCTTTTTGAGATGCCAGCAAGAGGTAGCCAGTAGGGATAACCTCCCATGCTGGTATCTGTCTTTTCCAGTGGTTTCCAGTGACAGTGACAGCGACTCAGATCTCAGCTCCTCCAGCCTGGAGGTCTTGCCCACTGGTGCCAGGGACCTGAAAGGCGACAAACCCTGCAGTGAATCAGGTAAGTGCAGGAAGTACATTTGAGGCCCCAAGTACAGAGCCTTTGTTGCTTCCTTGGCCCACCACTCCCCAACGGGTGTCTCTGGAGCTGTTCAAGATCAGGGAGGAGAAGTAGGCCTGGGGCTGGGGCAACTGGGAGCTACAGTCTTAGCATCACTGAAGGGCAAGGTGGAAAGGGGCTTCTAGGTGTTTGAGGCAGAGGAGGGCAAGGGAACAGGTCTTACAGCCTCCCTGCACCTCCGCCCGCACCCTGACCCCGCCCCAGCTTACTGTCAGCATTCCCCAGATGAGTTCCTTCATAAACGATGAGAGCTGTGGGAATCAGATGCAGAGTCCTTGGACCAGCTCAGCTCTGCCGTGCAGCTACAGTGGGATCGCAAATAATCCCCCCAGGGTTATTTTTCCTTCTGTTTAACACAAATAGGATGGAGGTGGTCTGCAAAGTCCTTCTGAATTTAACATCTGCACTCACCTCTGTGACCCTAAAAGAGGGTTTAACTAGAGCCTTGAGGCTGGTACAGAGGCGATCTGGGGGACATGATTGCCATTCCTTTAAACTCATGAGGGGCCTTCCTGGACAAAGGAGCGTCTTCCCCAGTGTTACTCTGGGGGTTAGCGCTGCAATATTAGGAAGATATTTCAGGGAGACTGATTATCATGCATAAGAAAGCTTTGTAATAAATGCTCCAGACAGGAATGGAATGCCTCAGGGTGCTTTCCTGGGGCCAAGGCTAGATCATCTCCTGCCAGAGCTGATGTGGAAGGAATTCCTGCTAGAATTGTCTAAGTCAGAGCTGGCAAGTGCCTGGTACCTGAACTCCTTCTGCTACACCTGTACCTGTGACAGATCTCACTAGGCGATCTCCATGCTCCTTCCCACAGATCAGCTGTGCCCTCAGATTCCGCCTCAGTGCAGTTTCCTAGTGGGTAGTACTGATAGGCAGGGAGGATATAAGCAGTGACCACTGTGCCCAGACTGGGTGATCTTGGGACCCTTCGGGCTGAAGATTCTATCTTAGAAAAGCGAAAGGAGGGGCCTCCCTGGTGGTGCAGGTGATTGAGCGCCGCACTATGCGGCTGTCTGCAGCCTCCGCAGCGCGGGTTCAATCCCGGCTGGCTGGCGAGAATCCCACATGGTGAGGCGGACCTTTCCTGTCTCGCCCACTGCTCTCCTCAGCAGTGTGTTTCATCAGTCTGCCTGTTCTGCTCCCCACTCTGTCTCTGGTGAATCCTCTCACCCTCCCGCGCATCTGGCCTGTACCCAGCACTTGTATAAATAAAAAATAAATCTTTAAAAAAAAAAAAAGAAAAATGGAAGGAAATGTACCCGCTAGCCTTGGTTTCCAGGGCAGATTTCACATTCTTCCCCTGCTCCCCACCACCATAGTGCATGTCCTCTCCCTCCATACCCTTCTTCAGCTGTGAGCAGGTGGGCGTAGGAGACAGAAGATGGATGCAGCGTCACATCTACACTCTCAGTCAGATGATACCATGTTGGAGTGAAGAATCTTAGTAAAGGCAGCAATTAATTGGGTTAACTGAGACACGTATCCTTCATCCCTACACCCACCTCATTCTCTGAAGTCAGGACAGATGTCATCATTACCAATTGTCATGTCAGTGACTTGACTTGATCTGAGGGCCCATTCGATTGGCTTTATATATTTGGCCTTAGGGTGACGGCATGCTAGGACGTGACAGCCACAAGCAGGTGGGGATGGTATGCCCAGCATCAGGGTTGGGGCAGACACTTCCATAGATGCCCATCACAATTCCAAATGACAAGATGGGAGATCAGCTCCTTGTCGAGCTGAGATCATCTCTGTCTCAGGCTCCGAGCGTTGGCACTGAGATGTTCAGGCCCACACTTGGTCTCTTGCAGGTGGCAACATGGAGTCCCCCAAGATGGGGCTCACCCGCCCACCCAGCCACCTCTCAGGAAGCCAGAGCAGCCTGGCCAGCGAGACAGGGACAGGAACAGGCCCTGCAGACCCCCAGGGGGGCACCCTCCTCCGGCGGGACTCCAAGGGTACTGGTGAGTACCGAGCTACTCCTTCAACCCCACTCACCTCCCTTCCCTCTTCTGTTCCCCTCCCGCAGGGCCCTCCTTTCTCACTCAGTCCTCCAAAGCTGGAGAGTCTTCAGTTCTCCATGTTTACTGAGGGTTGTGCCAGGCACTGGCTCCCAGTCTTCCCAAGCAGCCCCCAGTTAGTTTTGGATAAGGAAGCACCCTTGCTGGACGGTCCCACAAGGACCCGCCTACCCTGCCATCTCTTCCATTTTGTTCCCAAAGATCAAGCTGTCACCAGAAGGATTTTCATCACTGTTCACCTCATAGTGGTCTTTTTTCTCTCTCCCCCAAAGGCAAAAGGCACACCTGGGCAAGTCCCCGCTGACATGGTCTCCAGATGTCCCCTCTGCCTGATCTGGGTAGAGACCTGTTTGGTGCATCTAGCAGGCTTTCCAGTGGAGGAGTTTGAGAGAGAGAGAGAAAGCAAGCTGGAACCAGGCCCTTCCCAGCTCCTTCCTGACCGGACCTGGCCAGCCCTGTGGACGTGACCTCTGACTCAACAAACCAGTGTTTGGGGGGCTGAGCCAGCATCCCCCCACCGGTGCCTTTCTACACCCCTTCTTTCCTGGGATCCCTGTCCCCCTCCCCCAGCCGTTTCATTCAACCATCACCTTTATTTATTGTTCCCCCTCCATCCCCACCCTCTGTCTACCACATTTCTAGTGTAAGTTTGCGTGTTTTATAGGATAGCCTGGAAGGGCCTTCAGATTTTTCTTGTGGGGCCTTCCCACGTGCACTGTGACCTCAGAGGGCACCAAGCAAGACTTTCTCCACATTTGTATTAATGGATGCAGAAATGTGCCCCTGAGCCGTGCCCTTCAGAGCTGACCTTGGCCCCTTGATCTGAGCAGTGACGTCCTCCCTCTACTGTCTCGTTAGGTTTCTTCGGTCCCGGGACTTGCTCAGCCTACCCTCTCCTCCCCTTGTGTAGCTGGGAAGGGTTCGGATGAATACTGTGAGCACTCGTGCAAGAGCAGCCTGCAGCTGAGTCCTGTGGGCACGGGGCTCCCCTCGGCCGTTAATTCACTTCTCTTCAGTAGGTTTGGTTGGGCATGAAAAACACTTTATTCAAAGTACGGGCCAATGGTTCTGGGGAAACCCTTCCCTGAAGAGAGAGAACATGCGTGTTGGTGTCCACATCCTCCCTGCCCCCGCTGCACACTCACCAGACCCCATGCCCGAAGGGCTTGCCTCTCTACACGCTCTCAGGCCTGCACCATTAACTCTTTTGCCCTTGCTCCTGGCAGACATAAAAAAACTCAATGTTTCCCTGTGAGAGGTTATGCTTCAAAATAAAAACAATAAAGATTAGAATTTGCATTGAGCCAGTGAGTTGATCAAAAGACCAAAATCACTTACATTTCTGTGCTGCATTAATAAGAAACAGATGGAAAAAACGTGGCACATTAATATGCTGGAATACTTCCTGAGCCACTGTAAAAGGAATGAGCCACATCTATGTGTGTTGAAATTGCTCACCAACCTAACGTTGAGCAAAAAATAAAAAAAGAGGCCATTTATGTTTAAAGAGAGATTCAAGCATACATGCAAGTAATCACACTGAGTTTTTACAAATTCATATGTACATATGTAAAAGTATTTTTTATTTTTTTATTTTTTTTTTAATAAATTTTATTGTTATATTCCCCATACAATTGTAGCCCCCCCATTCTGACCCCAATCCCTCCCCTCCCACCCCCGCCCCCTAAAAGTGTCTCTGGTTCATAGTTTTTTGTTGATTTTGATTTTCACTTTCTTATAGTTATTCATTTTCCTGGTCCCTTATTTAAGTTTTCTAGATTCCTGCTATGAGTGAGACCATCCGGTATTTTTCTTTTTCTTTTTGGCTTATTTCGCTGAGCATGATCCCTTCCAGCGCCATCCATGTTGCTGCAAATTGCATGTGTTTATCTTTTTTGAATGCTGAGTAATATTCCATGGTATATATGTACCACATCTTCTTGATCCAGTCATCTATTTTTGGGCATTTGGGTTGTTTCCAAAGCTTAGCTATTGTAAACAGTGCTGCTATAAACATAGGGGTGCAGGTGTTCTTTGGAATGGATGTTTCTGTGTCCTTTGGGTAAATACCTAGGAGTGGAATTGCTGGATCATATGGAAGCTCTATGTTTAGTAGGTCCAGAAATCTCCATACAGCTTTCCACAGTGGTTGGACCAGTTTGCACTCCCACCAACAGTGCAGAAGAGTTCCTTTTTCTCCACACCCTCGCCAACATTTGTTGTTGCTAGTTTTTTTAATATGTGCCATTCTCACTGGTGTAAGATGGTATCTCATGGTAGTTTTGATTTGCATTTCCCTGATGACAAGTGATGTTGAACATTTTTTCATATGCCTGTTGGCCATTTGCATTTCCTCTTCAGAGAAGTTTCTTTTAAGCTCTTCTGCCCATTTTTTGACTGGATTATTTTCTTTGTTGTTGTTGAGTCTCATCAGCTCTTTGCAGATTTTTGTGATCAGTCCTTTATCATTAGTGTTGGGTGCAAAAATGTTCTCCCAGTTGGTGGGGTTTCTCTTTGTTTTTGTTATTGTCTCTGTAAAAGTATTTTTTAAATGGATGAGGACTCCCGGTTAGAGATGACAGACTGAACACATTCAGATTTCCTTTGACCCCCATCCAAAACCCCACCAAAATGACATATGGGAATGAAAATGGCAGAAACCACAAAGACAAAAAGGACTGGAGAAGAGGTGGCAATGGGTAAGAGAGATCTGAAAACTTTGGAAGATGCAAGTATAGAACTTGCTCCCTCACTCCCCAGAATGTCTGCAAGGAAGGAAGTCCACCACGAACTAGACCATTTGCTCTACAGACTCCCCCAAATAGTTTACTCCCCGCCAGATATTCACTACGGTAGAAATACAGGCTAGGTCTGAAAATAGTGTTGGCTGAAAGAAGTTATTAGATCCCCTAAGTCCCTACTCCCAGCCTACATGGCCTGTGGACTGCCCTTCCCTACCCTGACCCTGGTAGAAGACAGGCTTATTGCTGATAAAGGCTGAGCTAGAAAGATTTTGGATTAGGGAACCTGAGCTCAGGCAAAGACAGGTGAGGGATGGTTAATGGGGAAATCCTCATCCCCCCTCCCCTGCTAACACCTGAGGCTATTCCACTCACCCCCAAAGCAGGACATTATTGAATTTCTCTGGGAAACTGACCAAAGAGATCGATAGATACTGACTGACATGGCCATTCCTCCATCTCTCGGCCATCGCCATGGCACCAGCTGGCAGCCCAGCCTGAATGTGCAGAGCTTCCTATCGGCTCTGCTGTGCTGCATTCAGAATGGGAACAGGGCACCAGCATTTGACCAAAACCAACAACCGAAAATACAGAGACTCCAAGAAAGAGATCAGAGAGTGACCCTGTGACAATATTGCTCCCATGAAGCAGGGAAAGAACGTTTGTTTTTTTGTTTTAAAGAGGCATGTATTATTTATTTATTTGTTTGTTTGTTTGTTTATACAAGCACTGGGTATAGTCAGAAGCGCGGGAGGGTGAGAGAATTCACCAGAGCCAGAGCAGGGAGCAGAGCAGGCAGAAGGACCGAGGTACACTGCTGAGGGGAGCAGCGGGTGGCAGGAGAGGTCTGCGCGCCATGTGGGACCCTCCTCCGGTGGCCGGGGAGCAGCTGGGGATCGAACCGGCGCCGCAGAGGCCGCGGGCAGCTTCGCAACCCAGCGCTCAACTTCTGCGCCACCGGGGAGGCCCGAAAGAACATTTGTTTTTTTTTAAGAAAGTATTAAAGCTCTTCAAAAGTAAAACTATAACAGCAGAAATTTTAAAATGCATGAAAGGATGGAAGATTAATTGAGAAAAAAATCTCCCAGAAAGCAAAATACAAAAACAAAGAGGTATAAAAAGTAAGAAGGGAAAAAAATCAAGAAATTTCAACCACCAAATGATCAGATCAGTATACAGAAGGTCCAACTTCCAGCTAACAAGGATTTCAAACTGAGAAACAGAAAATAGAGGAGAGGAAACTAGAAGAAATGATAGAAGAATATTTCCCAGGACTGAAGGAAATGATCTTCCGTAGAGAAAAAACCCACCAAAAGCCGGGTGCAGGGACACGGAGCTCCACCATGTGTGGTGTGGGCCGCCAGAGCAGCTGCGCAGCAGAACCTGTAGTGAAGATGCACATCCCCACCCCACAGCAGTGCAGGACCCAACACCCCAGTCTTCGAAAACAGATCTCACTCACCAGGTCTGAACCAGGGGTGTGTACATCTAACGAGCTCCCCAGATGACGCCAATGTGCTGCCAGAGAGACCCACTTGCTTGTAGGAACTCTTTTTTTTTTTTTTTAAGGATTTATTTTTATTTATTTATACAAGCACTGCTGGGTACAGTCAGAAGCGCGGGAGGTGAGAGAATTCACCAGAGCCAGAGCGGGAAGCACAACAGGCAGAAGCACCGAAGTACACTGCTGAGGGGAGCAGCGGGCGGCAGGAGAGGTCTGTGCGCCATGTGGGACCCTCCTCCGGTGGCCGGGGAGCAGCCAGGGATCGAACCGGCGCTGCAGAGGCTGCGGGCAGCTTCGCAACCCAGCGCTCAACCGCTGCGCCACCGGGGAGGCCCTAGAAACTCTTCTATGCAGGATCCAGGAGGCATGCACAATATGTTTAGGGCAGTACCTTTTTATTTATTTTTTTTTAAAGATTTATTTATTTGTTTGTTTGTTTATACATGCACTGGGTACAGTCAGAAGCGCGGGAGGGTGAGAGAATTCACCAGAGCCAGAGCGGAGAACAGAACAGGCAGACTGACGAAATACACTGCTGAGGGGAGCAGCGGACGGCAGGAGAGGTCTGCGCGCCATGTGGGACCCTCGCCAGTGGCCGGGGATTGAACCGGCGCTGCAGAGGCTATGGGCAGCTTCGCAGCCCAGCGCTCAACAGCTGCACCACCAGGGAAGGCCCCGGCAGTACCTTTTTATTAGCTCAAAACTGGAAACAACCTAAATACCGTGAACAGAAGAATAGGTACATAAATTGTGAGGCTGTCATGTGTCACTTAATAATAATTCCATCAGAAGGACTTCATACACCACAGTGGGCCCAATAGGCCACCCCATCTACCTGGCTGTGTACTCGGCTCTACCGCTGGGTTTGTGTAATAGCACACCCTGGCATTCACAGAATGAGGAAATTTCCTAATGATACATTTCTTAGAATGTATCCCTGTTGTTAAACCACATGGGACTGTAATCAAACAATGAGTTGAATATTATATGGTGAAAATGAATGGCCGCACAGCCTAGGTGAGGCTTACAATGCTGAGCCAAGAACAGATGGCAGAAAAATACATTATAACACCATCTGCATGGAGATTTTTAAAACATGCAAAGATGTTATATATTAACATATATTTTATGCAGTGAAAGAAGAAAGAAATGCATAGGAAGGATCAACACATTCAGGATACATCTTAAGAAGAGGCGTGCAATTAAAGAGGGCCTTCAACTTTATTACTTAAGCTCAGTAATGGATAGATAGATGAGCTCATAATTCTTACAATATCTCATTATAGTATTTTTAGAAGTCTGAAATATTTCAAAATAAAAAACTTAAGCTACTATATAGTATGCCTTCATGTTTATGAAATTTCAGGCACCAGGAGAAAGAAAAAAATCGTAAAACCTTCCAAAGGAAAAAATAAAGTTCATACACCAAACATCAGGGATTAAAATGGCATTGAAATTCTCAAAGCAGATTTCGAAGCCAGAACATAATGAAGAAGTAACTTCTGAATTCTGAAATGATTTCTGATCTAGATTTATATCCAGCCAGATCTCAATCTTGCTAGGATGAAGATATTTTCAGATATCCATGTGTGTGTGTTTTTTTTAATTTACCTCCCACACACTCTCAGGCAGCTACTAGAGGATGTGCTCCAACCAAACAAGGGAGAAAACAGGAAAGAGGATACAGGGGACACAGTTGGAGATCCAACACTGGAAAGGGGCAAAGAGCATCCTCAGGATGATGGGTGCCGTGGCTATGCAGCTGGGCCAGACACCAAGGCCTCCAGTCTAGGCTGGAACGTGAGGACGGAAGAGACAGTCAAGCATCAGAAGCAGATGTGTGTAGGGGAGATTGTGTATATCATATTATTCTACATCATGATATGTATGTGTGTGTGTGTGTGTGTGTGTGTGACATAAAATTGAAGAATTGAGAAATAGAATCAGCATGAGATTTATCTTCAATGGTAAACGCCAACAGAAGTAGCTAGAAAGTTCTAAGGGTTGCCTAGAGAAGGACTTAAGGGGTTGGGGGAACTAAGGGATTGCTGCTCTGTGTATTAACTTAGGACAGCTGTCCTTTCTCAACTATATACTGCATTAGGTTTCTAACAATGACTTTTTTCCATGGAAAATGCATATCAAAATTAAGGCGTATAGAAATGACTTGATTAGCGCTAAACACCAGCTAACCCACATAATCCTGAAAGAGGCAGCAGGTAGAAAACGCATGAACTTTGGACACCTGGGATTTCAAAGCCCAGGTCCACCACTAAGTACCAGATATTACGGGTGCTTCTGGATGCCTCATTTTTCTCATCTGTAAAATG